GGTGGCCAAGAAAGAGACACTCTTTCTCACTAATGGAAGTCCCACTGCTCAGCTTGGTTTTTCTAGTCCTGTGGTGTACCATTTCCAAAAGGAGGAGAAGAAGATGGATGGAGATGATAACGATGATGATGATGGATATTGGACTGCTGCTGTTGAAGAGATCAAGTGGGATACCATGTTCCAGGATCTAAAGCCAAACTGAAACTTTTCTCTTTTCTTTCTGGGTTGACTCCTTCCCATGATTTGGAGAGAGAGAGAGAGAGAGAGAGAGAGTGGTTTGGGTTTTTTTCTTCCCCTTTAGCATGTATTCGGTTGAATTTCTGTGTAAACACTATTAGAGAAGAATATGGAAGGAAAGATGAAATAATCTTTTTCATAAGCTAAATTAGTATCGTAAAAATTCTCTTTTATTAGTTTTTTGTAATTTTATTTTTAATTGGTGCTTAAGTTAGTTTTAATTTATAGAAAAATTTATTTAATTTTTTTTTTCTTCTTATTTTTCTTTTTTAGAAATACTTCTAGAGATACTTATTCAAACATATGGAGATGGGTTGGTTTAGTACATTGAGCATATGTCTCTCTTGCTTGTAGTATATATTTATGTATGTTCATGTCCTTTATGTTTGATAGGGGGAAAATTGTATCAGATTAGAGTCTTCATGAACAGAGAAATGTTTAAGTTTTGTAGCAAGAAGTATATAATTTAAATTTTGAAGCACAAAGTGTTAGGCTTTGACTTTAGGCACTGTGTGTTATGTATAATCGTGGTGCCAATGGTATTAACCGAGTTTATTTGATTCCATCTTGGAATTCAAGTCTCTTGAGTTATAGGGCCTTCCTCGTAATCATCTAATGCTTATTTTACTGCATCTAGGTAGAAGACCTTTGGGAAACACCAATATGTTGTGAAGCCTGAAACTATGTAGAGAGAAGAGGTGGATCACGTGAGGTGACCATGTGATGTCAGTGACTGCAGATCCGAGTAGGTAGCACTTAACTAGCAGAAGAGCTCTCTCGGGATTCATCGGCAGGGACCTCATTTTTGTTCCAATTTATTGCCAGTCTTGCATCTCCTTCCATGTAATAATGATGTAATGCTTACGTTTATTTTGAATAATCCATCAATTTGGTGCACCAAGTATCACTTTATCTCCTTAAATAGTCTTTAAACTAGTAAAATTATATTAATAGTTCTTCAAATTAATCTGCATTAGTACAATATATCAATGTAGAGACTAAATTGATAGATATACTTATATAATTTCATTGGTTTAAAAATTATTTAGCAGAGAGAGTGATACTTCATGAAATAAATTAATGGTTTATTCCGTTTATTTTATTTTAACTTTTGGCTATGTAATAATAAATATAAATATATAATGGACATCATAAGTAGTGTCCATCCAAGCAAACAATTGTGTCAGAAAAAACTTAGAAACCAAAATAACCAAGGACATGAGATAAGGAAGACAGCAACTGTCAACTGCGATTGAGGCTTAAAAAATTAGCACTTACGATATTTTAGGCTATTCAGAGAGGAGAGAAAAGCACCTCTACCACTGGCAGTATATAAAAGGAACTACATCCATTGTTAATTTTCAACACTTGTACAATATGGGCTAATACAGTACTTGCAATACTCAATTATATTACTTTTGTCTTACCTAACTTGAGCCAAATTAATAACACTAGATGCCCAATGCCATATTTACATTCTATTTTTTAAAAAAAAAAATTCGACATTTGAAAATAGGGAACCATAAATGCTGAAATCATAACATCATGGAAGTTTATTTTTCATCCAATTAGAGCTTGGAATCACATGTAGAAGGCCATATTGTCAATTGCCTTTATTTATTTATTTGTCTTTTTGGATGATATCTTCAACTAACCCTCAACTGGGGCAGGGGTTTCCAATAGCTTCTATGGACTTGTATATGCATACTTTGGCAGCTTCAATTGATTGAAGCATTGATCACATGATTCACATTAAAGTTCAAACTGAGCTACATCTATCTACCTATGACTATGCCATCGAAATTGAGGTTGATGAAATTATGCTGCATGCCATGAAAAATTTTAGTGCATTCTAAATTTCTGACATGTACCTGAAAAAACAAGAAATTTCTTCTACGGAAAGAAAAACTAGGTGAATCTAGCAGCATGATATGACATACACTAACCACAATTTAAATATTGGGAAATTCATTAATCTACACCTAAAAACTGTTGATCGCTCACATTGTGAGAATCACAAAAGAATAACTCCTTAGAATTGTTTCCAATAGCAAGCAAATACAGGGATATCGCCTAAGGCTCATAATTTTTTAGGAGCAACACATAAATTTTTTTGAAGAATGGATCCACAAAATTGATATATCTTGTACCTGGCAGGTAATTTTTGTACACACTCAGTGGTTTGAAGTCTGAGATAGACGAAATGAACCACCAGCATACAGCATTTGATATACTGGTCGTATTCTGAGTGTCAAAATTATACTCAAGATGGTACCAAGTCCACAGACACCAGCCAAAACCAGAAAAGTGAGCCTGAAGCAAGTTGCACCATAGCAGGTGGAGTTTCCTTGATTTGCAGCTTCTGCATCATACACGTTGCCAGCAAGGAAAACTGAGAAAATAAGGGCACCAATTGGATTTCCTAGCATCATGACGCTACTGATAACACCAAAGTGCCTCAAACCAAAAAGCTCAGAGACAGTTGGGATCATTATAGAATATTGAACCCCATAGCAGATCCCAAGCAAAGCCGTTGCAGCATAAAGAGTGCCATCAAGAGCTGAAGCATAAAGTAAAAAAGCTACGATCATGATTATTTGTGTACTTGTCATCCAAAATGTTCTCGGTAGTGTTATCAACCTGCCATGATGATAGCCTCATCGATACACGCCCAAACCAAGTAAAAAGCAATCACAAGTACCAGAAGAGATTTCAAAGTCTTCCCGTAAAGTTTTGTTTAGATAAACTTATCGATAAAAACTTATAAAAGAAGATAAGATGGTAAAAAGAATTATTTTTTTTCTAAAAGTTAAAATTAATTTATGAATAAACTAAATGTGAAAATATTTATTTATAAGGAAGTTTATCTGAACACGACCTAAGAGACTAACATCGTAACAAATCTCAATTCAGTTCATAAGGGAAAAACTACTTATGGTAAGTCCTTACACAATTAAAAAACTATTTCTAATTGATGGGGACCATGTCATAAAGCTCAATGTAAAGTCGGGAACTTCTTTAGAAAATAGTCATAGTTTGTTTGGTCCACGATTGTGTAAATAGAATACATACCTAACAAAGTGTTCAGAAACAATACCAGCACCAAGACGACCCATAAAATTGCAAAAGCTGAAGACCGAAAGCAATATGGTTGTATCTTCTACACCTAAGGCAACTCCAATTTGAGCCAAGTTATTGAGAACTGTTACTCCTGATCCAACCCCAAGAAAATAAGCAAACCAGAGAAGCCAGAAATCAGCCTTGACCAAAGCTTCACGGAACTTGAAATCATCACCCCTCTTAGGCCTCCTTTTCTTCCTTATCGCTCCCTCCCCTTCTGCTATGAGTGTCTCAACATCTGAAGCATCCTCACTTTCATGAAAACTTCCAAGATTGGCAGCTGAGGAAGATGGTGTCAGCAATGGACTTGTTTGAGTTGAAACATCATCACCTGTTAGCAACTGATCTGAAGAACCAAGCAGTGGAACGTTGCTCCTCTTTGAATTAGCAGGAAATAGTGTCATTTTGACAGGAATTGCAAGGGGAGTCATGAGAAGTATAACCATTATAGCAACCAAGATGTAGGATACAGCATCATCTATAGAGACCATGTCACTCACTATTGTGGTGATAACAAGATAGGAGGCAAGTAAAACACTTGCAACTTGGACAAAAATAAAATGCACATGCACCGAAGAGTCTTCCCCAGAAGGAGGGGTACAAGGCCGAACGAAGTACATCATAACTAAACATACGACAGGAATTCCAATTGCCAGGAACAAGAGTAATTCAGAAGCAGATGATTTCAGCAACATGCTATATATTAAGGTGTATACTGCAGCACTAATCCCCGCATAACCTTTAAGAATGCCAGAGATGGTGCCTCTACTGAGAGGAAAGTTTCTCATGTTGGTGACAAGCACGGCTGTACTAAACCACGCACTGCTGTTAGTGGCAACACAGAGGGCAAGCCATAACTGCCAAGTCACAAGGATCAAAGAGATATAGCGATACAATTATTCTAAAAATACATAGGATACAATATGTATAAGATAGTCTAGAGATTCACAAAACATAGTAAGTATATAATTGTAACTTTGCAAATTCAAATTAAGAACATGCTTCTTAGATATTACTAAAAACAAAAAAATTAGTAACAATAGTTTTGTTCTATGTTTCTATATTCTACTTTTGAGGGTTGAATTAGGTTTAGATTGACATTCTAAGATGATATCAAAATTATTCTAGATCCATTAAAAAATGTCACTCATCATTTATATATGTATTAAGTTTAATAGTGTTGAGCATGAGGTAGTATATAGAGAAAATTTTAAAACCAAAAACAAAGCATTTAAGCATGAGCAATTATCACCTTAGACTGATTTTATAACATAAAGTTAGGCCCAAACCGAGATTCTGAGATTTATCAATTGTATTGAAACTTCATAATTTTTTTAAAGGCTTATATTGAAGTATCCAGAGTGTTAGTATGAAATATACGTAAAAGCAAATTAAAGTATTGAGTGGTTTGTGAACATATTTGGAATGAGGAATTACCAGGAGATAGGGGAATTGCGAAAGAGTTTGGCTAACAGCAAGCCAGATAAGGCCATAGCCAAATAAAGAAAGGAGAGAACCAAGCAGAAGCAAAGCCCAAGGAGGGAACTTGTTGGAGGCAATACCAGGAAGCAGAGCCATGTTCTCCCCAACATCATTGGCCACTCCAAGAATAGTGACCTGTTGCTGGTTGAGACCCAACACTGATTTGAGGGCAGAGGAATAGAGTGGGAAGTTGTATGCATTGCCAGATGCTATTTGAGTCCAAACTGCAGCTGCAAGACCAACCCAAGGAGGTCTGCTCCCAACTTTGAGAACCAGCTTTGGCATTTTTGCACTACAAGCCCACTATTTGTTTTGTTGAAGGATTGGATATTATAAGGCTCCAAAGGAAGAAAGGTTAGATTAGTGTGAGAATTGAATTGAATTGAATTGAATTGTGGTTAAAGGACAAAATACTCAACTCCAACACTTGTAGCAAATAATGCGAACCAAAATTACTAGTTTCTCTTGAGTGTTCTGCCTCATGCCCAGCCATGACCTTGACACTAATTTTAGTTTATCTGTCAGTGTTACCAAACGGTCCAAACCTAACTCAATGAGATTTCCATATGTTCTTAGTTGGAAAAAAATCTCATCCGTTCAGTGTCTCTTGTCTATTCTGAGAGTATTTCAAAAACAGTTGTCAACTCATTTTTAGTTGGTTTTATCATGTCATGTCATATTTAAAGAATTCACTAGAGATGGGTCTTACATATTACTGTATATTTTTATATTTTTTTAGACTTAATAAAGAATATAAATTAAATTAATTAGACTCCATTTATTAAAGGAAATAAAATTGGGATTAAGAATAACATTAAGAAATGGAACTAATGATAACTTTTTCTTTCGTGCATTTTTTTGAATGAAAATATTTTTGGACATAGCTAACAACTTGACTTGGAGTTTTTGTTAGAACAATATATTTTGAAATGTTTTTCAATTTCCCTTAACCATATTTCTAAAGCCCAATAAAAAATAAAGTATCACACCAAAAAAATAATGTGAAAATTTTAAGCATAAAATATAAAATTAAGAACAATAGTCACATAGATGGGAAATCAGATAGTCAAATGAAAACAACAACAGAAAAGAATATATACTAAAAAATTGGTTTAAATAACGTTAAGAGGTACATGTGTTCTTCTTCGGTCTAATGTGGGCATTTCTTGTGCTAAACTGACATGGAGGAATCATCAAATTCAGTCGAAAACTTGATAGGACTTGACTCAACATGGATGATGTCCAATACTTCGTCCGACTAAACACTACCATTGAAAAATGTTTTTGGTGACTTAGCAAGAATCTCAGTGTTGTTGGAACCTTCTATAATAATATGTTTGAATCCAAGTTTAGAAATAATTTCTCTGAAAAAAATATTTTTTTTATATTTTTAATAAAGAATCTAACATTTATTCAAATAGACTTAAGTCATCAATGTCTAAATTCTGTTGGCTTTGAAATATGTTAGATGTTCGCCTAATACTCATCTTCATCCTTCAACTACTCATCTCCATTCATTACTCTCAACTCGATCTCTTTCCTCTTTTTTTTAGTTTTCATTTCATTTTACACACTGATAATATAGAGAAAGCTCTGACTTTATTTCCATTTCAAAATATAACGCCAAATTGACAATTCATTAAGCTTTGAGATGATAATATATTAAGCGTTAAATTCATCCCCTCGTCCTAAATAGACCATAACAGCAGAGGTATAGTAAACTATCTGATGTACTAAATTGTTAGTGTTTAAAAAAGATATATTATTGAATGCAGTCAAAAAGTCGGGATGAATTATATCGAAACTGACATTTCATTCTATTTTACTTTTGATCTTTTAAAATAAATATATTCCATTTGTTATGGTATACCCAAATTTTACAACTATTTAATACGTATTTAAGTCTTGTATTGCATATCTATGTTACATTTCGTACTTCACAAAGCCTAACATGGAATATAGTCACTGTCACTTCCATTTACACAATCAAACTCTATGTGTATGATTTACACGCGGATTATTTATACATTTATTGCCCGCTAATAAGATTAAACTTTCGTCTACAACTACACTAAGGTGTATCACAATAGCGGTTGATTTGTCTATAATTTGAGTCAAACAATTTAAAATAATTTTTTTAATAAAATTTAATTAACGTTGGAATGTGTGTTTTCTATTTAAAATGTAAAAGTTAATTTTCTAACACATGGATTATCGGTATGGAGTTGTTTCCGCATAAGCATAACTCGAGTTCTATATATATATTTGTGTTAAATATTTAAGGGAGGACTTTACTTTTCATAATGATTTTATCCAATTTAAATAAAATTGATTTTAATTATGGTATGAGTTATGAAAATAATTTTAAAATGTGTTTAGTACTCGAAGTAAACGTATGATGAGTCTAGTTAAAAGTGTGGATAAAGAAAAGGCAAGCCTAAAAGAAAATTAGTCCTTGACAAGGTGAAGTTAGAGAGGCAAATAGATGCATGCAATGCAGAATGCAGATGGTGAGAAAAGAAGAGCAATTTGGGTTGATTATAAAAAGAAATATGAATGGTATGCTACAAAGAGTGGAGATGTTGGGCCGAGGCGGAGGCGGAGGCGGAGGACATAACGGAGAGGCGAGTGGGCCTGGGCTGGAAGGCCTCACGGCGACGCAAGTGGTGAGAAGAGGGCCTAACAAGAGTGGTCAAGGCCCTCTTCACAAGCTTCCTGCCTCCGCTCCACGACGCCGTTTGCTGTCTCTCCGCTTGCTGTTTGTGGTAGGCGCACCGGAACGACCCGGGGTGCGTCGTAGGGGAACACATGCACGTCTTCTTCTTCGACGTCCACGTTTGGCTTCTTGAAGAAGGGCAAGGTATGGCCATTGGTGTAGAGAGTGAGAAAGAAAGAAGCTCGTTTTCCTTTCAATTTTCTTGTGCAGTTACGCAAACCAACACAACCTTCACTCACCTTTATATAACACATAATGGAGGATAAAACAGTAATTATACCCTACTCCCTCCAATTTCAAATATACAAATATCAATAATGTTTATACATTTATTATTAGTTTAAATTTATTATAATTTCATATTTTTTTAGATTTTAATCAAAAAAATGTTAGTCTTAAAATAAATAATTTAATTTAATAATAAATAAGAAGTTAGAGAATAAATATTTAATTTTATGTAAGGAATTTAAATTATATTTTTACCATTCTGAATACAATTTAAAATAAACTCGTTAAGATTGACTTATTGATAAGCTTTGAACAAATTCTTTCATTTTAAGACTTAGGAGCTTATAAATAAATGTATCATAAAAAAAAATATAATTTGAGATGAAAAATGTCAAGTAAAATATTTTCTTAGTCAGATTAAACACAATATTACGAAACTTATAAAGATATTGTATTATCTTAAATATAATTTGAGATGGACCTATGAAAAAAGATTTACTAAGATGATATAGATGAAGATTAATTGTAGATTACTCAACCTTTTACACAACCTATATAACTTAACATATGATCCATCATATACTCATTAAATTTAAACCAAATCTTATATTTAATAATCAATATAATAAATCAAGATATAATATTTAAATTATTTTATTAAATATCAAAATTCTCGAGGTTTATAAACTTATAATCAATTAAATATAAAAATCTTAATTCTAAAATAAGGACTAATAAATTACATTTTTGAATCTTTTAATTTTATGGAATGACTAGATTAACCATAACATGTTATTTGAAAATATTAACATGATTGAGTAGTATATTATAAGCTATATATGATTAGAGATTTACAATTACGAAATCTAAAAACGAAAAGTAAAAAACTAAACATACTTGAATGTAAGCGTTTACTGTCCTTTTCACTTTTCGGAAACGTAAGAGTTTATTTATGCAACAAAAATAAAATGCAAGTGACTAAATAAATAAAATATATAATTTGATTAAAAAAAAAATGAAGAATCGGGAAGCAGTGGTGTGACAGCAAAGCGGTATTTTTCACAAACATTGGGCGGCCGAGCGGCCCGTTCTTTGTTTTTGTTGAGATTTCGGAATGTTGTGGGCTGCTCAGATAAAAAACAGCCACTAAATTTTAAATAAAAAAGATAAACAACCTGTAAAATAAAGAATAAAAAAAAATCTTAATCTTGAATTATTTTGATAATTTAATGATGTATATATATATATATAATTATATCATGATATGTTAATATGTAAGAATTTTTTTATATAATAATTAGTTAAAAATATTCTCTTTATATAAATTAGCAAGAAAAAGGTCTGTATTGTATTAAAAGAAATAAATAAATAAATAATAAAAGGAATGAGAAGTTACTTATAAAAAAAATAATTATTAAAAAATAAAGGTATAAAATGATCCATATAAAATAAAAACAAAAAATAATTATTGAATGTGGTATCACTTTTATATATTAGTATAGATAACTCTCTTGAACAAGAAAGTTTATATACACTATTTTGTAATAAGTGTTATTAGTTATTAGCGAGTCAAGAAACTTTGTACCTCAATTGAAAATAAAAATTAAGTAATAAAAATATAATGATTTAATTGATGTTATGATTAATTTCAAGATTTTGAATTTGATTAAAAAAATATTTTCAAAATTTTTTAAAAATAAAAAGATATAATAGTCAATGAAATGTAAAAACCAATGTAATTATTAAAAGGATATCCCTTTACATATTAGTATAGATTTTTTTTAAAGATATTTTTAATCATTTTTTTAATTTATAATTAAATTAAAATATTTTAAAAATTATAGTGTTATAATATAGATTATTTATCATTGATCTCAAATATAATTATATGATAAAAATATTTTCTTATTACAAAATTTAATTATAATATAATTAATTTATTTATTTAAAAATACTTATTTATTATAAAATTTAGTTATATAAAATAAGAATATACTATATATATTGTCTATGCTAAAATACTAATTTATATTTAAAATAAAATTTAATTAACTAATAATATGAAAGTATGTGATTTTTTATATTTCACATTTATTTTTATGTTTTTTTATTATTTATTTTTATATATTAAAAACAGTATAAATGTATTTTATTCAATTAATGAATTTAAAATTTATTTTTAGTATTAACTTTGATATGACGTGCCGACCTACAATTCCTTGCAATACGCACTCAGTGCTTAACGTTACTGTTCTTGAACTGTGTATTTCTTTCTTCATTAATAATGAGTGAGTTTAAAACTCAATTTCCTTTTTAATATAGTATATCATTCAATATATTTATATTCTTCTTATAGTTTAAACTTTAAAGTATATGAATCGACGGTTAGATAGTATAAATAATTTACATTGTTAATCGATACAAAGCAAAGGAATTATTTTTAGGTTGCATTTGAATGAGAAATTTTGAATAGTATTAATCGATAGAGTTTGAAATGATTAAAATTTAAATTAAATTTATTTAATATAAAAATAAGAACTAATCACCTATACACTGTCAGTGTCAAGTTTTTTTATACGAACAACCAATTATATCTTTTAATTGTATCATGTCACTGTTAAAAATAAATGTGTTTATAATGACATGACACAATTAAAAGATATAATTAATTACCAATATAAATTTTTACACTTACAGTATATAAGTGATTAACTCTAAAAATAAAGTGTTAAATACTCACAAAAGAATTTAATATAAAAATAAAGTGAGCATAGAAAGCTATCACATGAAGCAGTCTTTTAAAGATATATAACCAAATAATCATAACTCACAATTTAACATGGGATTCTGGAAGAGTTAATCTTGGGCAGCACTACGTGTTGGGCTACTATATTTGTTATTAACAAAGCCTTGGTTAAGGCAATCTAATTTAAGTCAAACACCTACACAACAATTAGCATCTTAGGAAGCATCACATATCGCAATTTGGATATGTAAATAAACAAGAAAATGGATACACTCAATACACAACTATGCATTAAATAATCTCACTAGAACAGAACTATTCCACAATTGCTTTCATCTGCACCCAAAAACAAAAAGATGCTTTGCATGGAACGGCAAGGATATGATCAAGTGGTCAAGCAATTCTCCCAAGTCCCATACTTAGAGCTGAAACTCCCACCACCGCTCTGTTGTGCATGCTCCGAAATAACTGTGCGAGCACAAACATCCCAAGTCCTTGCTATCTCCCCAAGGGACATAGGTTGTGATAAACTTCGCAACGATATGCTAAACCTTGACTTTGCTTTCACTGAAAGATCTTCATTCTCCTTACTGAAAGAAATATTCAACAACGCTTATTTTTATTAAAAACAGAAATATTCTCAGCAAATCTAACATAAATAATGGAGAAAAGTTAAAGTGAGATGCATTCAGTTGATCATATCAGTTTTGAAGGGGCATAATCCAACATTTCAGAGGATGATAAAAATTAATAATGGCAAGTCTCGTTAGCACATCAGCGTTATACTAATAAGCAGAGTCGGATAAGGACACCAAACACAACACAAACACTCGCACAATTAATGTAAAAAATATAACACCTTTTTCTATTTGTAACGTACCAACACAAACCAAAATCGGAGTAGCGTAAAAAAAATATCTAAATTGATAACAAATATTTGTCTACTCTGGTATATTCTCCTTTTCCTCATGATACGAGTCTCACAAAATAATTAAGAGACATTGTTTTAAAATTAAAAAAAAAAGTTTTTTTTTTATTCTAAGATAAGAAAATAAAGTTATATCTCTCAGAAAGGTATATTAACCTTCTTAAACTAACTTTCTATGTTTTTTCTAAGATAACAAGCCTTAGACAAAAATATAAAGAGTGGGACACTGAGACATTAATTTTTAATGTTTTATATTATATTTTAAGCTGACTTGTCTAAAGATTAAAAAATGAATATGTCCCAATAATATTGGTGCACGTCCATCAATATGGAAGTGTCGGCTCATCATTAAATATGAGTGCATGTTCATCCTTAGATATATTTACTGAGTCTGATACAATAAAGCAAATACATCTTTCATCAATGAAAAAAAGTCATAATACCGAAAGAAGTTTTGGAAATGTGGGCGTTATATTTCTCCTTTTTGTTGATAAATGCAAGCATAGAACATATTAGTCATGATAATTCAAGGTTTGGTGAGAATACATATTTTTTGTTTAATAGAAAATAAGATGCGTAAGAGATGCCAAAATGCTCATTCTCTCACCTGGATTCAACTGGAAACTTGTCGAGGAGTATGGGGGAACAATTAGGATAATTTGTAGGAACAAGCAAGCGCAGGGGTTGAATTGGTGACTGCATGGAATTAAGACACAAATAAAGGACAAAGTTCTATAACAAAAAATATTAATAAATACTTGATTTGTATAGAGTTTTAAGCCAACCATCTGTGCTGAAGCATATTGGGATTTCAAGCTCGGACTGAGAGCCACAGCATTGAAAGAACATTTGACAATGGTCCCTTCTGTTCCTTCAGCAGCAGCAGCTGCCGTTGGATCAACTTCTTCATTACTTATGTCTACTACCGTGTCAATAAGTCGCTGATTAACCTCCCTGATTTCTTCCAAAAGGGAATGATTAGCCTGACATATAAGACACAAATTCCTTATCAGCAATCAAAGGCTGTGTAGAGCAAATCCATTAATTATAAAGTGATTTCTTAATCCTCACAATGCATACTTCAGAATAATTTTAAAACCTAATATCCGACAAAGCATTATGCTCTAATGAAACAAATATCCATAGCTACCCAGGTCATGCAAAACTTAAGTCATTCTATAATGATTATTGTTCATAAATGGGGAGAATAATAGTTAATTGTAAAAATGAGACAAATTATTAATCAAAAGAA